GACCTTGTCTTTCCTTACTTTTGCCTTCCCCCTTTTTTTAAATTTTTTATTCCTAATTTATCACTTTATGTTTTAGAAAACTACATAGTTTCATGCTTTTACTAAATTATTTGATTCGTTAAAAATTTGTTTGCCCCGACCTTAATTGTTTTAACTTCTCAAAGGCAAGCCTAAACCAATTACCCTTTTTTTTTTTTTCATTTTTTGTAGCAACGGTTCATGACGGCAGCTGTTAAGGACCATGCTTCAACTGCTTCGGATGTAGGACCCAACCAAAATGTTGTGGATTTCTTGGAGGCCTGCAACTTGCTGTTTGAGCAAGGAATGCTCAGTCGTCGCAGAATTAACTACAAGAATAGCCCTGTCTTGACCAACATTAAAAAGGGAATGGCCTTTTTTGAACAGTGGTGTCGAGACCATGAGGATACAGGTAACTACTTGGTGAAAAAATACTTATTTTTGTTGTTCAAAGTGAAAATTCTGGTGTTGGCGGTTTCAGCTTTGTTTGATGTTAATTCTCTTTTCTACGTTTCTGAAAGTCAAACTTGGTTGAAATTTTGTCTAAATAGTTTTTTTTAATGGCTGCAGCTGATTAATCTGATTCTTGGTTATTATTAAAATTATTATTATTATTAATATATAATTTTATCATTATTATTCCAGTTTATGAAGAAAACTCCAAAAGAGCACGACAGAAGAAGTTTTTCGCTTGGCAGATATCAATGGCAAATTTTTACACTTTTCAAGAGTATGAATTGAGTGGTTTTATGATTGTTGCTTGAAATTTCCCTACACCACAGCTATTGTTAATAATATATTTTATTATTATCAATTTGTCGAGCATTGTGGCGCATTTTTCGGGCTAAAATGGAGAATTTGGCGGGCTAAAATGTATTTTAGCCCGCTGAAATAAACTAATGAAAAGTGAAAATCAAACAGTCGTACGATTTAAGCAGCCAATCAAAATCGAGAAGCCATAGAATGTTCGCGCCGTCGCCTCTTGCTGCGTTGGTGAAAGAAATGATAGCGCCATTTTCATGCCCAAACCATGGCTGAAAACGCAGTAAACAACGAAGAAAATGTAAATTTGCAGTCTTCTCAACTAGAGGAAGAAGATCTACAAAAGTTAGAGGCTGATTGCGTGCCAGTAAACACCAAAAAACAGACCTCTTGGGGTTTGAAGAAGTTTACTCAGTGGCTAGAGAAGCGAAAAATAAGCAAATAAATGTGGTGCTCAAACCAAAAAAAGCCTTTCTGTACTGATGGGGAACATTACCTTCTCGAAGAATATGTGCAGCACAAAACTGACGACAAGTTATAGTAACTTTATTTGGATATTATTTATTTTCCTCCTGTAGTTGCTCATGATCAGGTGTAGTGGAAGTTTTGTAGCGACTGATTTCTTTTATATTGTTGTTATTGTTCTTTCTAAACATGCACTGTTTTTATACTTGTATTTCATTGAAGATACAAATGAAAGTGGCTTGGAACCTGAAAGGAGCTGGGATAACAGGTTACAGTGCATCAGAAGATGAGCTTAAGGTCCTGCATGAT